GTTGCATGAAAGACAATTGCTCCATTTCCATTGTTGAGTGAATGGTTTTTGCAACCATGTATTTTAAAATATAATAGTATGATCCATGGAATTATGTTTTGGCCAATGGGATTTCATTTTTTAAAAAAATTAAAAGCTTTTATTGAGAAACAGCATTCCAATGTGACATGTACAATTGAGAATGGTGTACATGCAATCCAAACCAGATCAAAATCAGTTTTTTGAAGACCGAGAATATTTGCTACCAGTTCTTAGGAAGAGATATTTATTGCTAGCTAAATCATTCATAGTCCCTTAAATAGTTATACATTTTTGTCATCTCTCTGTACTAATCTGTGTTTTAAAATCAGCTGATAACATTTCCCTTTGTCAAGCACCTCTGCAAAAAATGGCATCCATTTTGCTTGAGGGCCTTACATTATGATTTCCAATATCATAATGTGTTGTACAGGACAATCAAATATCTTTCTATTCTTCCTTCCCAGGCTTTTGTTTAGTTTTACTGATATCCACTCAAAAAAAAAAGGTGAGCACTGGGTTGGAGATTGAGAGCTGACAGGGCTTTAAAGGTGTGGTCTTAAACTGCCCTAACCCTCAGACAATCCTTAATATATCCTTTAAGAAAGTAACTTGGAGGTGACATGATGTATGGCACTTATCAGAGCACCACACAGAAAGTTTAGGTAGCAGTGTTTAAGCTTCTGTGAAGACATCTATACCTGATCAGTTTGAATTACCCTGCTTTGATTGGTGTGAATGTTCCTTTCCAAACTATTTAAGTCTGAATATTTTATTTATATTCTGTTCATTAAAAAAAAAAAATCTTTAAAATCAAGCCCTTCTTGCCATATTCCCAAAGATTTAAATACTCATCTGACTCATCCAACATTAGATTTATTCAAAAAATCTTAGAACTAAACCCTAATAATTGGGACGGGGGAGTTGGGTTTGGTGATTCTGGTACTTTTCCACTAGATCAGAGTAGAAGTCACCAATTCATTATACATTGGCCATCAGCCAACAGGCAACTACTTTTGCTCATTACTGCTCTGGGCCACATTCAAATCAGTGGCCCTGAACTGAAAAAATGTTCCATATTCCATGAACTCCAACTCCATAAACTCTTTTCTTCCGTTTGTTCAATTATGTTTTACACAGTTATGTGAGCCAGTCATTCAGGTTCTAAATAAAAATCCTTATCGCTAGGAAGGCTGGCTTCAAGGAACCAGTATATAGAATTTTTTTCTCCCTTTAACAGGCATATTTTCCTTTTGCTAATTAAAAATAATTATTGGATTAAGTCTTCTCAGATACACATCACATGCATCTAAGGGAAGGATCAAGCCTTAGATGAGCAGATTTGCAGTTATTTTGATTAGTACATTAATTCTTTAGAATATAGCCATAGTTCCTATAGTTGTTCATTTTAAATTAGACATACAACTGTCCATTTAAATTGTTATCCACATGAGCTGAAGGTTGTTGCAAAACTTACCTTCATTATGGGAAGAAGGTCTTCTACTTTATGTACATTTTCCAGTGCTTCTCTAACTTCTAGCAGACCTTTAGGATTATTAGCACTAAAATAAAACATGCAACAATTTTAACATACAGCAACACAATGGTCAAACAAATTAGCATTTTTCAAAACATCCATCTAGTTCAGGAGTCGGCAACCTGCGGCACGCATACCAAAGACAGAACGCGAGCCGATTTTTGATGGCACGCT